ATCTGTTTTATGGATTCCATTTGTTTCCTATGTTGGGATTCCATCATGTTCCTCACCTCCTCTATTTTTTTTATCTGTGTCCTCTCTAGATTTATTAATCATGTCTTGCACTAGGGGCACATTCTCTCCTGTTATCTGAGAAATTACTTCTGATTTCAATTTTTCCAGATCCTCTTTTGTTACCAGTTTAGGGAGCCCAAGTGGTTGAGTATCAGATTGTTACATCTCGTTTCCCTTTGGGGTTGCTGTAGGTGATCTAGAAGTCTGTTTTTGAGGATTGTGTACGTGTCTTCTCATTTCCGCAGAGCGGGGTGGGGTGCTGCTGGTGCCTGCTCACCTCCTCTGCCCTGGAAGCAGTGGAATGGCGGGCCGGGAGCCTCTTCCTGCTCCCATCACTTCCAAACACTCCTTACAGAGAAATGCTGCCTGGTCTGGACAGTGGAGTTGCTGATCTAATCCGTGGGGTGGAGCAAGGTGCTCTTCTTTCTGGGAATGGGAGGGACTTCGAGAAATAGGGAGCCAAGTTCCCTTTTCTAACCCAAAGCACCGTGTTCGGCCTAGAGACTGGTGACACACCTGTGAGCTGGGTTTTGATTGGGAAACTGAGAAACTGTCAAAGAGGATTAGAAAGATTGTCACTGGTTTCAGACCCTTTCCGCCTCTGGTGGGAGCGCCTGAAGACAAATGCTCCACTGGCCAGGTACCCCTCACCCCATTCATTTGTTTTCCCTGGCCTGTGGCCCGAACTATCTGCACCCTTTCTCCCTGGAGTCGGGGACTCAGGGCGAGGCTCGCTGGGCCCCGGTGGACTGCAGCACAAGCTCCTCCTCTCCCAGTGCTGGTCCTGTGGGCTGCACAGGGACACAGGGCACCCGGGCTGCCAGCAGTGTCTCACCACCTGGGAAGGAGCAGGGGTATATGGTGAGGGTCACAGAGCCCGGGAAGCACGTGCACTGCCAGGCCAGGCAACTGGTGGGGAGAGCGGGGTGCAGGGAGCCGCTCCCTCTCCTGCACTTCCCTTTCCCTTCCCTGTGGGGTTTAGGAATTGTCTAACATTTCGGTCAACTTCAGTACCTGTTTATTGAGATGTAATTCAGAAATGCTGCGATTAGTACATTTAAAATATGCCATTTAGTGAGGTGTATTATATTCACAGGGTTGTGTAATCATCACCTAGATTTTAGAACATTTTCTTTATTCCCCAAAGAAACCCTGTACCCATTAGCAGTCACTCTCCACGCTCCCACTCCTCCTGTCCTAGGACAAGACTGGCTCTATGGATTCTCCTAGTCTGGACACGTCACAGAAACAGAAACATAATGTGTGGTTTTCTGTGACGGGCTTTTTAAAAATTGTAAATTGTAATTGTCATTTTATTAAATTTTTAAATTCTATAATTATAAGAACAGTATATATATAGTCTCTTCACATAGAAATAATGAGATTAGGCAAATTTTCCCATTAAAGTGAAAAATATTTATTTAAAAAAATTAATATTATTGGAACATTTTAGATGTACATAATGATCACATTCATCATTGGAAATTTGTACCTGTACATAATATATCTTGATTCTTCTTTTCTCCCCCAATCCCCTCCCCAACTTCCAAGCCCCTTCCCTTCCTTATTTACAAAAGCTTTGTCTCCATTTTCCCCTTCTATTTTTTTCTTTCCCTTTCCTTCCTTTCTCCCCCTCCTTGTTCTCCTTCCTATTTAAACATTTTCTTCCTATTTCACAATATCTATTACACATTTTGATGTTATATATTTATTTGCCATTTGTACTTCTTCATTTGAGAAGTGTCTTCATTTCAGATGCCCATTTTTGGATTGGGTCTTTAAATTTGGGGGTCTGATATTTTTGAGTTCTTTATCTATTCTAGATATTAGTCCTTCATCTGAGGAATGCCTGGCAAAAATTTCCCCCCATTCTGTCTGTTCTGTTGTTTTCTTTTGCTGTGCAAATCTTTTTAATAAGATAAGATCTCAACTGTTGATTCTTTGTAATATTTCCTGTGCAATTCAGGTTTTGTTCATAAAGTCTTTGCCTACACCTATGTCTTTAAGAGTTCTACCTATTCTATCTCTCAGCAGATTTAGTGTTTCTGTTTTATACTTAGATGTTTGATCTATTTTGATTTTGGTTTAGTGCATGGTGAGAAATATGGGCCTAGGTTTAATCTTCACTATGTGGTGCCAGAGACTCCTGCAGTAAGTCTCTAGTCCCCACCTGCCCAGTGTGCCATGCAGGCCTGAGAAAAAAGTACACTAAGAGACAGAACTAAGAGAGAGAAAGCAGGGTGCCAGAATGACCAATGATGGTGCGACCAACAAAGGTGTTGGACAGTCCCAGGCAGTGACTTTTGTTGGCAATCAATTGGGGTAAAGATGACATGTGGTTTCTATGGAAATTAATGTGAACAAGGCTCAGAAAGGACAAGACAAAGCATTCTCAGATGAGGAATGGAATAGACAAGATATATGATTGTAATTAGAACATTGTCCTTCAAGTCAGAAGGTTTAGTTGTGGGAACGGAATTTGGGTGTGAATTACCCTGACCTTGGCATGTAGGCTTTGGCCAATTGAGGGGTTAACTCTTTACAGCTTGCTTTGGGCATAATCAATATTACAGTCCTCTGCAATGTGGAAAGCCAGTTTTTCCAGCACCATCTATTTTTCTTCCAGTGAAGGTATTTGGCCCCTTTGTCAAAGATGAGGTGGCTGAGTATGTCTGGAGTTGTTTCTGCGTCTTCTAATCTGTTCCATTGATCCATGATTTTTCTTTTGGCCAGTACTATGCTGTTTTCATCACAATAGCTTTGTAGTGTAATTTCAAGTCAGGGATTTTGATGCCCCCTGCCTTGCCTTTGTAGCCCAGAATTGCTTTTCCTATTCTACATCTCTTCTGGTTCCAATTGAATTTTAGGATTGTTTTCTCTTCTGTGAGATATGTTAATGGTATTCTGATCAGGATTGCATTATATCTGTATAACAATTTTAGAAGTATGGCCATTTTCAAAGTGAAAAAATATAAATTTAGAACATGTTTTTAAGTAGTAGCTATTAATCTGTTACAGAAAATGTAGAAAACACAAAGCTCTAAGAAAATATTTTAATTAGAAGTTATTTTAAAGGTGATTTTAAATGTTTTAACAGCTAGGCATGATGACAAATGCTTGTAATCACAGCACCCTAAGAAGTTAAGGCAGGAGGAGGGTCACAAGTTTGAGCCCAACCTGGACAACTTAGTGGTTTAGGGAGATCCTGTCTCAAAATAAGAAATAAGAAAAGGGCTGGGGATACATAGCTCAGCATGAAGGCCCAGGATTCAGTCCCCAGTAGGACAAAAAACAAAACAACAACAACAAAAAACCAAACTGTATTTTAAAAAAGAAACGTAGAAGTAAATTTTAAAAAGATATGTATTACTGCTAGAAAGTTCTAAATTATTGAAAATTAGTTTTATGTAAGTGCTTAATTTAATTTTAATGGTTTTAGTTTGTTTTTGAAGGTTATCCATGTCCTTTTTACTGCTGAATAATAGTCTATAATACCCTTTGGGGAATGGGTATGCATGCTGTTTCTACTTTTTGGCTGTGTGAATAATTTCATCAGTGTCTATGGATACATTTTTGGTGAGGACATAAGTTTTCAATTCTCTTGGATACATATGGTACCCAGGAGTGGAATTTCTGGGTCACATGGTAACTTTATGTTTAACATTTGAGGAACTGACAGATAGGTTTCCAAGCTTCATACCAAAGCTGAATGTATTATTTTATGTTTCCATCAACAGTAAGAGTTTCAATTTTTTTATATTCTCTCCAATATTTATCTTTTTGATTATTGCTATTCTAGTGGGTGTGAAAAAGTATCTCATTATGGTTTTGATTTGCATTTCCCAAATGACTAATGATGTATTATTTTAAAATTTTAAAAAAGGATTTACCTGCTGAGGTTTTGAGAACCGAAGTAGCTTCTAGGCCAGGTACCCAAAAGTTGCAGAGCCTGTCTATGGTTAATGCTCAACGCTATCCCCTCTTTCCTACAACAGAGTCTGGGATAAAACTTCCAAAGCCCACTGATAGATTTCCCTCCAATTTAGGGTGGCTGATATATATATATGCTACCTTCTTCCCAACATGCCCCTACTCCCACCAAAAGAGTAACCTAATACTTGCTCTCCTCCTAACAGCTGGTGACATCACAGGCCCCTCCAGTCCCTAGCCACGACCTCACTCAACCTCACCCCAGCTCCTACAAGGCCCACCCCAGCTCCTATAAGAAGCACTCCCTGTCCTCGCCATATTGCTTTTGTCTCTCCTTTGTTCAGAGACAGCCCAACAGATCATCCCTGCAATAAAGGCTTGTTGTGGCCTGGTCTGGTCTTGGTTTTCGGCTTCCTTTTTACCTGACATCCACCTGTTGCTGCTGTTAGAGAATTCTGGGCAAGATGGTCTGCAAGTAGCCTAAATGGCTCACTTCTTATTTGTTACTAGAAACTCAAATGGTAAAGAGCATTTCAATCTGTTTTTACTGCATAAAAAAATAGTGCTTTTTTCAATGTCCTTATAATGGCTCTTGGATGAAGTTGTGACCCTCTGTTGGTGATTAAGCATGCTGTGCTTCTCTTTATGTAAATGCCATTGGAATTCCCCTTCTCCCTACCACCATCAGGGTATGGAATGCGGAGGGGCAAGAGTAATGGTTCTCAAACATGTTTTAAATGGATAACTGTCAAAAAGTTTTAGTTATGTATCACATATGTATACATATATATATACATATAATGTGTGTGTATATATATGCATTTTATGCAGATAAATATAGATGTCACTCTCATTTTAGACATTAGTAATTGTGATGGTTTGTGTTTAGATGTCCCCCTGAAGCCTCATGTGGTCTTAGGTGGGGCTTTTTCAGAGTTGGCTGAATCCAGAGTGTGTGATTGATTCTTGGTGATTCTTACTAGGCCCAAGGGCACTAGGATTAAGGGTTTGAGTGCTACCCACCCTAAGTAGTTTGAATAAGTTAAAAGGGGCAGGAGAAGCTGTTAAGGTCCTTTATTGTTTTTGCTGTCTTCTACCAGCATGAACTGTTGCCCCTTGTTGCTTTTGTTGCCTTGTGGGCACCATGAACAGTTTCTCCTCTATGATGCCTCTCTGCGGTGTACCACTCTGCCTTGGAGCCAGACAATTATGGACTGAAACCTCTATAAACTATGAGATAAATAAACCCTCTCCCCTTTAACTTTCAGTGTTGAGTATTTTGTCTTAGCAACAAGAGGAAAGTAACTAACACAGTAATGGTCAATTTTTCTCTTATTGTTTTCAGTTAATTAAGCCAGATACAGTGCCACAATCCTGTAATCCCAGCGACTTGGGAGTCTGAGGTAGGAGACCATCCTGAGCAATGTAACAAGGCCCTGTCTGAAGTGGGGTTTTTTTGGTACTGGGGATTGAACTCGGGTCCTTGTGCTTGCACAGCAGGTGGTGAAACCACTGAGCTAAATCCCTGGCCCTGAAGTTGTTTTTTAAGGGCTGGGGTTGTGGCTTAATGGTGTACCATCTCTAGGTTCAGTTTCTAGCACTGAAAAAAACCCAGACTGACCTGTCTTATAAGGCTTCCAGAAGATTCATCCCTGTAGAAGCACAGTTGTGCAGATGGACACTGGGACTGGAACCAAACTCAGAGTTCAAGCTGTTATAGGGCCAGGTGAGTCAGAACTATAGAGATGTGCCACACTCTGAATTGAATGGAGTCCTTTATTATAAGCTAGCTGATTGAGAATGTCTCATGCCAAAAATTCTCTACAAAGGAAAGGCAGTTTGCAGGGTCTTTTAAGGGCTCTTCCATTTGGGGAGAGCTCAGGGAGAGGGAGTGCACAAGTGGAATTTCACAGGAACAGAACTTTGCTTTGTCAGTGGGGGTCAGGGGTAGTTTCACGCAGTTTAACTAAAACAAAATGTCACACAGGTCTTCTGTTTACAAGGTAGTAAAGATAACATAGTTGCAGACTTACAAGTCCTATTTACAAGGCAGTAAAGATGACATATTTGCAGATTCACACAGGACACTGCAGTCTGTCATGAATTAACTGAGGGGACTCCCAAGGGGGAAGGGGAAGGCAATGACCCAGAATTACTGGACTTTACAGAAATGGAGTCAGGTTGGGTATCACAAAGCATACCAAAATCTGAGCTCGAAATTCTTATGTAAGTGCAAAAATTATCAATATATGTGAGGCACTGAAGACTTTAACATATACTTTAAACTTTGACACAGATCACTTAAGATTGAAAAAGTATAATGTATTTGTGCTGTGGTTGCATGGTGAATTCTAGACAAGCCTCAGAATTCTCTACACTGAAAGTTACCTCTTAATATGGCCTTGGATGCAGAATTGGTAGAATATGGGGAAAGCATTGACCTAACCTGTGAACCATACAACCTGTAGTGACTGGCCTAACTCACCACAACTACCATGATTATCAAAAAAAGGAGGAGGCCAAAGGGAAAAATAAGGTTGTTTCAAGGCCAAACTAGCAGTTATGTAGTAAGCAGTGATGAGGAGGAGTTATATATGTGGTCAATAGTTCCTGTTGTAAGTCCCTGAGAGAAGAGGCCATAAGTCATACACTTTCTGGTGATACCCAGTGTCAAATTTGCATGGATAGACACTCAGAGGTTTAACTGGACACACAGCACATCTACTTTACAGAATGTGTCCACAGGGCTATGGATGTAGCTCAGTTGTAGAGAGATCACTTAGAATGTGTAAGGCCCCAAGGTTGAGTCAGAAGCAATTTTACATAATTTTGGGGGAAAATCATTTCATAATTAAATTATGTTAGCCCTAGTTTTCCTGTGTATAGGCTGGCTATGGCATGTCAAGACATAACTCCCTTTTCACCTCTGGTCACAGCTAAAACCTCAATGGTCCAGTGATACTGTGATGCTCCAAGGCAGGATTACACCAGCTGAAGACATCTTGAGAAGGAACAAAATCTTCATCTGCATAGTTCCTCATTATTCTAGGATTATCATTGTCCCCCTCTGAGACATCTGTTACTCCTGATGTACTGAATAAAGGTGTGGCAAGCTTTGCTGCCCAGAGCAGATTGATCAGGCCCAAAGTTCAACTTCTTCTCTAAGTCTCATTTTCTATTAATTAATTTTCCTTGTGCTATTGTGGCTCACCGGAGTCTAAGATTCACTGCAGAAGTTCTAGTAACATCCCCTTACCCTATTGCCTATAAGCTTGATCCTCAGCAACACACACAAACACACACACACACACAGAATGTGAGCACATGTTCTGTAGCTGGTGCCTGCACATCTCCCTTAAATGTACTAAAACTTGCCCAGTTTGTTTGAAAAAAATCAACCAGCATCAGTATTTGCTGGGTTTTCCCACTGTGCAGGCACCATAGGTGTTAGCAACCAATGCTATTTTGGCAATTTAAAAAATTTTATCTGGCTGTCAGGGCTGGTAAAGGTAGGTTTGAGGGTGAGGTCCCAGGGTAAAAAAAGCATATGGAGCTGCCACCAGCAACAACACCAAGAGAGCAGCATGTCTTTATTCCTCATATTCCTTATATTGGCTGCTATCAAGCATTACAGCATTGTGTCCTGGCATGACCATGTTGCACATGCATGATTGGTTATACTAAGTCATTCTTACATAAGTTTGTCCTGCTGTGAACATGTGCTAGACAGTGGGGTCATGTCCTTACAGGGTCCTTAGGTGTCCCAGGCTTTAAATCAACCCAGAGGGTCTCCCCACACTGGCATATATAAAAAACTCATTTTTTATAACAGACACCTCTGCCCAGTTTTAGCAGGCCACAAGGCTACATTTGAAGCCATATAAATAAGGGCAGCATCTTAGAGATAGTGGATCAAGTAGACACAAAGAACTTGGGAGACTGACAACTTTGCACACCAAAACCATTACAGAGGTTTGGTCTTTTACTTGTGAGAGAAATAACTTGGTTTTTTTCTTGCAGTGTTGGGGATGGAACTGAATCTTGTGCATGCTAGGCAAGTGCTCTACCATTGAGCTACAGCCCTAGCACTTTTTAAATTTTATTTTGAGATAGGGTCTGGCTAAATGGCCCAGGCTGGACCAAAGTTTTAATCTTCCTGCCTCAGCTGTCAAGTGGCTGGTATTGCAGGTGTGTACTACCATGTCCAGCTACATTTTATTCTTGCCAAACCAACAGTTATATTAATTTTACTAGGTAGACAAAATTACTGGCTCTCATCTACAGCAATACAAACTATTTTAGTTAATGGATGAGACAGGGTACTGTCTCTGGGTTTCTCTGGTTTCTCTGATTCTATTGGAGTATAAGTCCTTTCTGAACAACTGTCCCACCAGCAGGGGAAGGAAGTATGCACACAGGCACCATACCTGGTGGCCTTTGAGGCTACACTGGTGAGTGCCTAAGCACACTGACACATAAAATTGTGGTCCTGAACTTTCTGACCTGTCAGGCTGGGGGGGGGGGGCTGTCTCCTTCACCTTGGCAATTGGGGTGTGCTTCTTTTCCTACACACTGGTCAGCTAAGCAAGTTGGCATGCTTCTTTGTGAACAAACAATAACCTCCCTGAGTTGCAGGCCTAGGAAAGCATCCAGTGATCCTACAGCTGTTTTTCTTTCTTTTTTAAAAAAAAATAGAGACTCACATAGCCCTCACAAATCATCCTGCAGTTTAGAATGAAATGGAGTGTGATTTCTTCAGTGTTCCCTCTTTTTTCCCAATAATAAAATGGATAGTAAAACTTTCTTCTTCTTTACAGTGATTGTAGAAGAATTGTTTGCCCCATGGAGGCTCAGTGGTACCATTGAGGCAGTGCCCATAATGTTGGTCTACTCACTGCATTATTTGGACATTGCCCATATTCCTACATCAGTTGTTTGACTTAGTAAAGAATATGCAAGATAAATGTGATATATACTATTCTGGGGATTTCTTTTGGTGTTCTAAAATGAAATGAGGAAGAAAAGGTATATGAAAATGAAAAAATTTGGAAAACAGTTCTAAATATCATCTTCTTACATTTTAATAGATCATCTTGTGTATTATACTTTGGAGACTACTAATTACTTTCTGACATAGCAGACGTGTCACAAACTTGACTGCTGATAAAAATACCTGAGAAATCTATTAAATATAGGTTCTGCTTTTGCATGTATTATCCATGTGACCATGATGAAGAATATACTTTCTCCAGTTTGCTGGCAGCCCTTGACTATCCCTATTATATTCTACTCAATCCACTCACATATTTAACTTACCTGCTGTTATGGCTTGTGTCTAGATGTCCCCCCAAAGCCTCATGTGGTCATAGGTGGGGCTTTTCAGAGATAGCTGGATCTAGAGTATGTGATGCTGGGGTTGATTCATGCTGTGATACTAGGATTAAGGGTACTGCATGCTGGGTGTGAGTGCTACCCTGTAGGGAACAGGGAAAAGAGACATTACTAGAAACTCTGTAGTGAGTCCTAGTCTCCTGCGAGCCATGACAGCACAAGGCAAATTAATTTATTAGACAGAAAAGATAGGAAAATGAGACAGAAAAGAAGCTGAGCATTGGCCCTGATCAATGCTGCTCTGGGCAGCAAAGATAAAAGACCCCACGCTTGCCACACCTTTATTCCATACACCAGGAGTAAAAAAATGTAACAGATGACTGAGAGGGCAGTGGGGGCGAAAATCCTAGAACAATGAAGAACTATGGAGATGAAGATTTTGTTTCTCCCCCGGATGTCTTCAGCTGGTGTAATCCTTTTTTGGAGCATCACAGCATCACTGGACCATTGAGGTTTTACCTGTGACTGGAGGCAAAAATGGAGTTATGTCTTGACATGCCATAGATGGCCTGTAGGCAGGAGAACTAAGCCTAATCATAATTTTAATTGTAAAATGATTTTCCCCTCAAATTATGTAGAATTGCTCCTGATATATTTCCCTTTCTTTCTGTTTTATGTGTGTTTTTAGAGAAAAATGAGCACACCCAACCATGGCTTGTCCCTATGTATTGTGAGGACCTATAGTGTGTTTAACTGGCTTAGTTGTCTATAATAAGCTCTTTTTCAAATGGCTAAGGGAAGAAGGGGAGCAGGTTTCAACTGCTTCGAGCTGAGAAGGGGTGATATAGGGAAGACCACAGCCTAATTTAACAGGCTTAAATGGAAACCATGCTGTAAATTAGTAATGAAACCCATCTTATAAAGTATATCTGGTGGATATTGGTAAAAAAATGTCTAACACATTTGTTGTTGATACTATTTGTATAATCACTTGAAGTTTGGCAGTCTATGTTCTACAGACAAGAATAAGCAAAAAAAATTTTAAAGAGATTACAGCATACATGTTCAAGGTATAAGCACTAGAAAAAATAAAAAGGGTAATTTGGGGAATGAGGTATATTTAGAAACTGTTTTTAAGGGATTAAAATAGGGAATGTAACTTGTTGACTCAAAGACCCTTTGCTAAATGGAGATTACCTAAAAATCAGACTTTTTCATAATTTCTCTTAAGTTTGGCTGTAAAAAATTAAAAATTTAATAATTTTTTTAAAAAATAATTTTAAAACTAAAAAACTGAAAAGCTCTTGTTGAGCTTGAATAAGTTTTATCATAGTTATACTTTTCTATTGGGTGTTTAAGACGAAGTTATGGTGAGACCTATATTAAATAAAATTAACTTCTTGCTATCTAACAAGTTCAATTAAGTCTCCTCAGGCACTATCTTGGAACCATACAGAGATCCTCTTAGCTCCTCTGTCACTATCAGCATTCAGGATATGTCACAGCCTTGCTTGACCATGTTGCTTTCTGCAAAAGCATGGGAGACTTTTTTCCTCCAGGTGAAATTCATTTGGAAAGTTAAATCTTACTCTTTTGGTGTCCAGCAATCTCCCTGCTCAGGAGGTTGGGTGACTCACCAAAGATTTAGGATCTTGTGGAAAAGGTTACTTCACGTCCTGGATCTTTTGTTGACCTTGGAGGACCAGGGTCAAAATATTGGCTGTTTTCTTAGCTCAGTTACCTTTCTAATTCTGGCCTCTAAACTTTAGTTGTTGAACATCCAGAAGAGAAGATCCATAACATTAACATAGGAGTAGTGAACTTAACTCTTATACTTTTAACTGGATATTAAGAATTTGAAATAAAAATATAGTTAGGAGACTATTATTATTGCCAAGCATGGTTGTTCTAGTGGTTGATTCTCTGTAGAATGTTAACAGAAAAGGTTTTAAATCAAGGACTATACATAATATTTTAGTATGACAATTGTAATATTATCTTTGTAATACACTTAAATGTGTATCTTAGTATGAAATAGCCATTGTTAAATTACTCACTCCCATCAAAAGATGCATAAAAAAGGCTATCTTTTGACAGGATGTCATCTAAGGAAAATATATCAGTCTACAAATGTACTTGTTGCCATAGATGGCTGGAGTATAAAAGAAAGGCAAATACCTGAATCAAAAAGAAGTTATTAACATAAACAATATGTTGGAAGACCTGTACAATTAGAAGGCATGAATACATTTTGTACACCAGAAAAGTAGCAGTAATTAGTATCACAATTATATAAAAGCTTATGTCCTTCAATGTAATTTGGTACCAAAAGCATCTTTCTAATAACACCTTTTTGTTTATCCTACAGAAATTAATCTTTTGAAGATGACCAATGCAAACATATCACAATAACATATTTAGAACTTAACTAATGTAAACATTTTATAATAACATATTTAGAGCTTAACCCTATGATAACAAACGTAACCAATTTATAACAACATATTAAGACAATGTTGGGGTGTGTCACCCATAAGGTTATGAAAATTGTTGGAGGTCTTGTTAGTGAATAAAGACCAGAATAATTATTTTCTGGGCAGCTGCCAAGGAGAGTACTATTTAGCAGTCTCCCCAAACCTAAGGGTCTCTATTTATTTACTTTGACAAACAATTTTTTAACTTGGAAAAACCCAAATTGTGACAATTAATGTTATTTGTAAAAATTTATTATCAGTAAATTAGTTAAAATGTTATCAGTTAAAATGTTATCAGTAAACTGTTATCAGTAAAAATTTTCTGAGTTATTGCAAGTAAGCAACTGTAGGGAACAGGGAAAAGGGACGTTACTAGAACTTCTGCGGTAAGTCCTAGTCTCCTGGGAGCCACAGCAGCACAAGGTGAATTGACTTATTATACTGAAAAGGTAGGAAAAAATGAGACTTTGAGAAGAAGCTGAGCTTTGAGCCTGATCAGTGCTGCTCTGGGCAGCAAAGATGAAAACCCCCAAGCCTGTCACACCTTTTATTCAGTACATCAGGATAAACAATATGTAACAAATGACTGGGTGGCGGTAGAAATCCAAGAACAATGAGGAATTGTGTAGATGAAGATTTTGTTCCTCCCAGGATGTCTTCAGCTGGTATAATCTTGTCCTGGAGCATCACAGCATCACTGGACCATTGAGGTCTCAGTTGTGACCAGAGGCTAAAATGGAGTTTTGTCTCCAAATGCCATAGCTGGCCTGTAGGCAGGAAAACTAGGCCTAATCAAATGATTTTTCCCCAAAATGATGTAGAATTGCACCTGACAAGCAAAAATACACATTACTTTTGTAAAATAAATCTCTTTTTTTTGTACTAGGGATCGAACTTGGGTCCTTGCGCTTGCAAGGCAAGTGATGGAACCACTGAGCTAAATCCTTGGCCCTGTAAAATAAATCTTGGTGTCACTTTGATCAGCTAGCAGCCTGGGGAAAGAAAGGCATGCTTTAATTTAATAACATTTATCTGTAAGCCAATTTAATTATAGGTGAATATTTTTTCCAAAAAAAAAAATAAATTGGTTGAGCTCAAATAAAACAGATGTATGATTGGACACATAGACAGACAAACATAAGCCAATTTATAAAACTAGAGTGCACTGAAATATGTTTGGCCAAATTGAATTATAATATCCCTTTTATGATTTTTAGGTTTATAATTGTACATA